CATGTAAGGTATTAAGACCTGGACATCTTGGTTTGTGGGGCATTATTCTTTTCTTTTCTTTTTTCTTTTTAGGCAGGGTCTTGCTCTGTCGCCAAGCTGGAGTGCAGTGGCACTATCTTGGCTCACTGCAACCTCGGCTTCCCTGGTTCAAGCGATTCCCCTGCCTCACTCAGCCTCCCGAGTAGCTAGAACTACAGGCATGTGTCACCACACCCAGCTGATTTTTTGTATTTTAGTAGAGACGGGGTTTTACCATGTTGGCCAGGCTGACCTCATGATCCATCCACCTCAACCTCCCAAAGTGCTGGGATTACAGGCATGAGCCACCACGCCTGGTCTGGGGGACATTATTTTTACTACTACCAAATTATTTGCAACATTGACTGCATATTAAAATCACTGGGGAACTTTAAACATTTCTGATACCCAGTCACCCTCCAGAACCAATAACATCAGAATTTCTAAGGGTAAGACCCAGGGATCAGTATTTTTTAAACCTCTCCAGGTAATTCCAATGTGCAGGCAAAGGTTTAGAACCACTGCTTTATCTTTCTGTTGCAGCCTTACACCTTCTACCCTACCACTAAGTTTGCCTTCCATGTCTGAACACATTGGGGATAACCTACTTGCAGAGTGATTATAAGACACTTGGAGAGCCTTCAGCCAATAGCAAAAGACCCCAGTAGTTTTATATTTACTGTCACATTTATCAAGAGTAGCTTAGTTATGCAGAATGCTACGAGGGGAAGTAAAGGGAAGGAGACTCCTTGTAAAAGCAAGTTACTTTTTACAAGTAAGCATGTATCTTATTTTGTTCATGTAACTCAGCAATTCCAGGAGTGTTACAGACTACAGTTGGGATTTGATCCATATTCCTCAATCTCTTCTTTTTTTCAAGTAAGCTTGAACTCTAAGTTTATATAATACTTTCTAAAAGTATCTCTGCATCTTTGCTTTTATTATTACTTCCTATATGAAATTCCCTCTCTATTTATCCTAAGACTTTTTATTTCTCCTTTTTCCTTGAAAGCCAACTGGTTCAACAGTTCTATGAGACATTTAGGGATGCTCTGGTCCTCAAGAAACTCTCAGATACTTAGCTATAATGTCATTTGGCCTTTGGACTGAACTCTCTTTCATTAGTATTTATTCTTTTATTTAAAATATTCTCAACCAGCTCATAAGCTTCTTTAACCAGAGGCTGAGAAATACATTTTTTATTCCCATTAAATAAGTGTCTTGCACATGGTAGATGATCATCGGATAGTTGTTAATGATTTGGAAGATTTTGCTTGTGCCTTAAAATTAGATGTCATATCTTTCAAGAAAGTTTTTTGACCACAAAGTGAGATAAGACCAGTGTTATGTCATCATAGCTCCCCAAGGCAGTTTCACATTAGATTATATTTGTCTGTCTTATGTCAGTTTCTTTGAATTTTGTTCATTGGTAAGTCTAGCGCCACAGAAGTGACAAAAATCATCTCTAAAGGATAAGAGCATATACCAGCCTAGATGCTCACATTGTTACAAGTTGCAACACAGATATGTAGTTAGTGTAAGTCATATAGTATAAGCTATATATCTCAGAGGAACAATATATGCAAACTTGTGGTGGTTTCTTTTTTTTTTTTTTTTTTTTCTTGAGACGGAGTTTCACTGTTGTTGCCCAGGCTGGATGTGATGGTGTGATCTCGGCTCACTGCAACCTCCGCCTCCCAGGTTCAAGTGATTCTCCTGTCTCAGCCTCCTAAGTAGCTGGGATTACAGGCATGCGCCACCATGCCCGGCTAATTTTGTATTTTTAGTAGAGATGGAGTTTCTCCATGTTGATCAGGCTGATCTGGAACTCCTGACCTCATGTGATCCGCCTGCATTGGCCTCCCAAAGTGCTGGGATTACAGGCATAAGCCCCTGCACCTGGCCTGTGGTGACTTCTTAATGAGACTTTTTTCTGCCCAAGATGAAACACTTTGATAGATGGACAAAAATTTAAGAATCTGATGTTATTGGTGATTTTGTTGTCAATATTTTTAGAAGTACTATGGGTCATAGTAAACATGAATAATACAACCAAGAGATTCATATATCTATATGTAATTTGTTATATAGTTTACTTTTCTGAGTTAGTAGCCTATCATTGAAATATAACCATGGTTGCTTTTATTATAACAATTTAACAAATCTTTAAGCAATCTTTTACCTGAATTAAAAATACGTTCAAGTCCAATGCATTAAGAACATTCAGTAACACTCTGAAAATGGAATTGAAATAAGCATGAAATATGTGACATTCTAGGACCAGTTTGCCTTCTGGCATCATGACTATTTCATGTTCAGTGTTATAAACCTTAACCTTTTTGCTCTCCAGAATGCTATATATAGAGAATACTTACCCAGTTAAATAGAAAGTTAATTTAGGTTCTGAAATAACCAGAAGTTTTGATAAAACGCTCAATGTCTTGTCTGTCTACCTTAACAACCTATGTCTACTTTTGGACTTTCCGTTTTCATAACTGATGTTAATAATGATATGAATAAAGTAGAAATCAACAGAAAGTTCATGGTTCTGAAGGTCATAGAATTGTATTAACTTAGGAAAGGCTAGCTGATCTTGCTTTCTGCTTTGATGACTCAGAAACTGGCTCTTGTCAACAGACTAGAGTTTTTAGACATTGAGAGACTGCATATGAGGCTGAGGCAGACACCAGAATACCAATATATTAATTCCAGTAAGAATGATAATGCCCACTCAGACCACAAATGCTAAGGTTTGTATAACAAAGGCGTAATCTCCTTATAGTCAAGCTACCTGCAAAACTAAGAAATAATTAAAAGTTTATTTATTAGTTTAATAAATCACTTCACAAAGACCTCAAACATTTTAAGCCTGTTCTGTCCACAAACTCTTTACATGAGAATCAGAAGTTTGCCTGGAGAACATGGAGTCAGAACAGTGAGAATTAAATATCTCTAGTGTTCATGGGTTATGATGTTTAATAATATATCAATTTAGTGTGTGAATTGGTATTGCCAATTAAACTAGAACTATTCTGGCTTTGTTAACTCTAGCTCCTCACATACTTCTCCATACTTAGAGTATATAGAGTATATACTTGCAATAGGCCTTGTTCGCGGGATTGGAAATAGTTAAAATTACTTGAAATGTGGTATCCAAATCTACTTCTCCTTTAGACAATGCTGACATGGTAGCTGCCCCTATTTCCTCCTCTTTATCTGTTTCTTTGGCTGATCAACACCTGTACTGTTAAGATTTTGTTTTGAACACTTGCTATAACATCTGATCGGTTTACTGTTAAGTATTGCTGGCCAGGGAGCATTTCTCTAAAGGGAAACTTTCTATTTTATGTTGATTTTATAGTGAAACCCTTTATTAGGCAATTTCTTTTCCTCATGTTTGAGTGTTTTTGTTTTTTGAGGGTGGATGGGGCACACTGTAGTTTTAGTTTGTTAAATAAACAGGGGCTATGATTTATTGAGTGTGTATTCTGTGCTAAATAATACACTAGTTATTTTTCACATGGTACATAGTCCATTTTCAAAAAGCCTTACAAGTGGATGTTTTTCACCTTAAAGATAAGTAAGTTGAGATAGAGAAATTAAGTTTCAGTAAGTGACAGAATCAGTATTTTCATTCTGACTTGTCTGATTGTAAAGCCCTTATATTTTTCTACTGTCCTAATATTTTTAATAGCATATCTCCTGTACTTGAATGCATTTTTTCTTTTGAAACTTCTAACACTAAAAATAATATTATTCAGCAATGATTAGAGGCATTTTGGGGAACACATTTTAAATTTAAAAATCAGTGATCTATATGAAGGAAGTTTTGTGGCAGTTAGTAAATACTTCCCTGCCTCCCATCTCACTGGTCTAGAATAAGAATGAATGATTTTGTAAACACTCTTTGTTGAACAAAAAATAACAGCTTTTTCAAGGTCAGATTAAGTTGTAAATACTACAAGAAAGTTTTTTAAATTAAATATTTTAACTTGACTTTATTTCTATAGAAATAATTTAATGAAAGGACAAGGAATTTTCTATTTAAAATATTTGCCACATATTTTTAACCTCTGGTAATATTCTGAATCAGACTCAAGTACAAAGAAAATGTTTAATTCTTGTTCAATTATCTAAGCTCATTTTCATGTAGGCTTTAGCTCATCAAAACAAAATATCCTCCTTTGGATTTTTTTTTATTTTATTTAAGTATCCTAAGGATAAATAAGTCAGAATTATTCACATCTAAATCATTCATGGAGTTGTGAAAATAGAATTGAAATATTTGAATATTCTCACCTTTTCTTTTACTACCTTGCAACTTTGTTATTATAACTAAATGCCCAAATTGGGTAATTTGGAGAGATGAAATGTTTTAAGATTAACAGTGATTGTAAAATTTATTCAATCCATAATAAGCTTTAAACAAATATTAAACTTTCAGTCAGTTGCTCTGAGGTTAGCTTATAACCAATATTTCTACATTTTACAATAATCTTACTTTCAATAAAATGCAGATTTGTTTTAATGGCAATCATTTTTATATTGAGTCTATTTTTTGATGAAAGAAATCTTAGTTATTTCTCTTCTTTTAAACTGCCAACAGTATTTGCTATTCATAGATGTTCTGTCTTCAATAAGGTCTATCAGAGTGTAAAACTAGATGGGTATTTTTCTTTCCTCTAAAATGGAATGGTCTTTCATTATGCAGTGTTCTTAGGTGAATTCTCTTGTTTAAGAAGCCAGAATACAAGAGAGTGCTATATTAGTGTATTATTCTCACAACAAACAAGCACTGTTCTGTTGCTACCTGCTTGGCCATTGTTTCTGATTGTGTGTGCTTTGCAGTGGTATTTGGATGGTTTCCTGCTCTCTGCTAGCACAAAAAGGCATTTCTGTTACAATGGCCCCTAACCACACAATGACGGCATTAAGGATTTATGTGGAGGTTTCATTATTTTCTCCTCTTTTGTTCCTTCCAGGATGTCTTCCAAGCGACCAGCCTCTCCGTATGGGGAAGCAGATGGAGAGGTAGCCATGGTGACAAGCAGACAGAAAGTGGAAGAAGAGGAGAGTGACGGGCTCCCAGCCTTTCACCTTCCCTTGCATGTGAGTTTTCCCAACAAGCCTCACTCTGAGGAATTTCAGCCAGTTTCTCTGCTGACGCAAGAGACTTGTGGCCATAGGACTCCCACTTCTCAGCACAATACAATGGTAGGTTTCTCATGGTTTATTGTGCCTACACTCACTTTTTGACCAGTCTACTCCTCTAATAGTTTGGCCTCAGTCCTTTGCTTTATAATTAACATCTACTTAATAAGCCATGCACAAGATTCACCCCTGGCATCTTAGAATTCTTTAAATTTGTTCCAATAAGCAGCATAAGATATGCTGTTTTTTGTGTCTTTTGTATTTTTCAAGACTTCTTGCATTTGAGACACTTGCAATTTAATTAGAGGGAAAAAACATACGAAATATAAACATAATGTTAAAGTAAGATATTTAAAATTATTCAGCCTGAAAATTTGGTGTCATCATTTTTCTAATAAAAGTTGTTTTGTTTTTGTTTTTTTTTCTGATAGAGTTACAATGAACATAGTTTGAACATTTCCACCATGATAAATCAGTGTTTTACTATTTGTTGCTTTGCCAAGATTGGATTCTGTAATATTCCTTAACAGTACTTGGAATTTCATAGAAGAATATATTTCATAGAGAGTATAGTTTTCTAATATGACTGCACTAATTTCTAACTCAGGCCTATTCACACTGTTGTTTTGTTAATTCACTAATTGTTTTTTGCATCCTATTCTGGAATATGCAACTCTGGGTAAATCCTCTGACCTCTTATCTTGGGGTCTGGATCACTGTAGAAAATTAGGGGCCGGGCGCGGTGGCTCAAGCCTGTAATCCCAGCACTTTGGGAGGCCGAGACGAGCGGATCACAAGGTCAGGAGATCGAGATCACCCTGGCTAACACAGTGAAACCCCGTCTCTACTAAAAAAAAATACAAAAAAACTAGCCGGGCAAGGTGGCGGGCGCCTGTAGTCCCAGCTACTCGGGAGGCTGAGGCAGGAGAATGGTGTAAACCCGGGAGGCGGAGCTTGCAGTGAGCTGAGATCCGGCCACTGCACTCCAGCCTGGGCGACAGAGCGAGACTCCATCTCAAAAAAAAAAAAAGAAAAAAAAAAAAAAAAGAAAATTAGGAAACCAGGACTTCGTGGATGAGAGGAAAGAAGCCAGCATAGCATCTCTGGCTGCAGCTTAAACAGCACACACAAACACAAATAAGTCATTGTGGTCCTTCTTAGCAACTTAAATACATAGAATCATAACGTTAAGGAGGTGGCAGGGCACTTACCTACCATTAAAGGCACCCTCACCTTTTCAACATGGCTGCTTGGGTGGATGTCACATTTTTGTGATCATTCCACCTTTTCTACTTTACGGATGTTAGTGTTGTTAATTTGAACCTGAATTACACCAACAAAAATATATTTTAGCTTACATTCTTATACCTTTAAGGACAGCTCTGATTCTGCTAAATCTTATTTTTCCTCCAGGAAATTATTGCCTGTCATAAATATGCTTAGAACTGAAATATGTCCACTTGTTCGTGATTTTGAATTACTGCATGTGGAATTAAATCAAGAAGAATCAGATATCTTCTGAGAGCTGTGTAATAGATTAATACTTTGATTTTCATATTAGATTTAAATATTCCCATTCAACATTTCAGCCTCATAGGTCAAGATTTCTTTGGGCATTTGACAATGCCAAGATTTTTCCACCAAGAATAATGTTTTAGGCTGGGCCTGGTGGCTCACACCTGTAATCCCAGCACTTTGGGAGGCCAAGGCAAGTAGGTCACTTGAGGTCAGGAGTTTAAAACTAGCTGGCCAAAATAGTGAAACCCCATCTCCACTAAAAATACAAGGATTAGCTGGGCATGGTGACACGTGCCTGTAATCCCAGCTACGCAGGAAGTTGAGGCAGGAGAATCGCTTGAACCCAGGAGGCGGCGGCTGCAGTAAGCAGAGATCATACCGCTACACTCGAGCCTGGTGACAGAGTGAGACTCCATCTCAATAATAATAATAGTAATATTTTAGCTAACTCATATGTCAGACATACAGAACTAGTGTTTTTAGCATTCCTCATGGTGTAATAACTCATTTAACCTTCACAGTAATTGAGTGAGGTATTATTATTAATTCTGTTTTACAGATGAGAAAACTGAGGCAAAGAGAGATTAAATAACTTGTTCAGATCAGCTAATTCATGGAAGGACCAGGGTTTAACCAAGCAGTCTGTCTTTGGAGTCCATGCTTACAAACATTATGCATGCTGCTGCTTCACAAGAGCACAGGCATATTTTATATTCTGACTATCTATTTCTTTGCAAGTTAAATCTTACTGCGCATCATTCCTCCCTCTCCTTTTTACTATGAGCTTACATAAGTTATGTATGATGATCAAACTTTTTATCTTCCTCTTACAAAGGTTAAACTAGGGAAAGGGGAAAATGAGTAGTACACAGGTCAGTAGGGTAAGGAAGTCAGACATTCCATTTGGCATGACATCACTCCTTGTGCCTTTTTCACATTTAATGCTTTCATCACTGTCCTCTTTCAGAAAATATCTAATTGGGAATAGTGTGATAGTACCATACACACAAATATATACATTTGAAGAGATGAATATAGATAATTATGACTAGAAGAATAACAAAAAGATAAAGGGAAGATGATTTTAAGTATACTCAAGGATGGGTATAAGGAAAGTATATTAAATTGATACATAATGTAGTTTCATGAGGGGATGCTGTGATGCAGATAGTTAATACAAATGAAACCATTCCTTTTTTTTTTTGAGACAGTCTCACCCGGTGGCCAGGCCGGAGTGCAGTGGCGCAATCTCAGCTCACTGCAATCTCCACCTCCCAGGTTTAAGCAATTCTCCTGCCTCAGCCTCCCAAGTAGCTGGGCTTACAGGCACCTGCCACCAAGCCCAGCTAATTTTTATATTTTTAGTAGAGACAGGGTTTCACCATGTTGGCCAGGATGGTCTTGATCCGCTGACCTCGTGATCCAGCCACCTCGGCCTCCCAAAGTGCTAGGATTACAGGACTGAGCTACCGCACCTTGCCAAAACCATTGCATTTTTAATGGAGAATTCAGTCTAACTAAAAAATGATGAACTGCCTACACTGTACCATGTTTTATGCGTGGCACTGTGGAAATTGATTTGAATAAGATACAAACTTCTTTCCTCGATGAACTTCATCTAAAGCAGAAGTTCTCTTTAATTTTTTATTTTTTTAAGAGACAGGTTTACGCAGGCTGTAATGCAGTGGTGCTCACTGTAGCCTCGAACTCCTGGGCTCTAAAGCACAATTTCTTAACTGGGGTCTATAGATCTCCTAAAAAAAAGTTGAGAATTTTTCTATATGTGAGCATATCAGAGTAGCACTGTGGTTTCCGTTGGATTCTTAAGTAGATCTGTAACCTAAAAGGTTAAGATCTGTTATTCTAGAAGTTAGTACAGTTTGGATACAAATGATTGTTTTAGTGATATCAGCACTTATACTTTTCTGTTATATTTTTAATTAGTTTCCAAATTTGTTTCTGCTCTGCTGCATACGTTTCTTGATTGCAGCTGTTTTTTCTGTCTTGAGTAGATAGTTGGAAGAGTTACCTATATGGTCTCAAGCATTCAACCTCTTTCCAAACTTACTTTCAACTTCCACAAGACTTGTTTTCCTGATAAATGACTTGGATTGTTTACGTCACTTTTGAAACTAATGTGTGCTCTGTTGCACATAGGATTTAGTCCAAAACACCTTTTCTTAGCAAAAGAAAAATCTCTGTAGACTAGCATCAAACTGTGGCTTCAGTGTCTTCTATTAACACATCCTACTATGGACACAATGCCCTGGTGATGCCAAGCTTTTCACACATGTTCATGAACATACCAGATGGCCTTTGAATGGCACAGTTTTATTCTTTCTACTTGGAAAACTCTCTATTTTCATATGTTACCTTCCTGGTGAATTATGTTTCCTCCCACAAGACTCGGTTCAAAAAATTGCTTTTTCTTAGATGCTTTTACTGACCTCCCAAGGCAAAATGGTTACTGCATTATTATTTCATCCATGAGAATTATTTATATATTTTCTCATGATCTACATTATAACTTATTTATTGACATATCTGCCTTTTTATATACTGTATTCCTTTTTGAAGGCATAGTCATATATATGTATATTTATGTTTCTGGGATCTAACATATACTAGATATTCAGTTTATGATTATTGACTAAGTGAGTTTACATGGATAAGTAAATATGTTTTAGGCAGAGTAGTTAAGGACAGTAATTAATAGTGATTTCATTTTCTAGCAATTGTAGAACTAAAGTAGAATCTACTAATGTATAATATATCCAGAAAGCAGAAAGTCATGATATATTCAAATTGTCAAACTGATTAAGATTTATTTTACTCATGTATCAAAATTATTGAATATATTTTTAGTATTCTTCAATATAAATAATTTCTCTTTTTATTCTGGCTACCAGGCCATTGTCATATTCACAGAATAGGTTATTTTATTTCAGTAAGGAAATACATTCTCTCTTTTTTTCTATTCCATATCTTGGAAAACAGAGAATGCTTCATAGTCTTTATATCACAGGGTTCAATTTAAGAAAAAAAAAAGACAGTTTTTCATTGTGTATTTGTGTGTGACATTAATACTTCATTCTTAAATAAAGAAGAGAGATGCTGGGAGGTATATATTTTGTATTACCTGAATAGGTTAGCGACAAAATACAACTGTTGAGTAATCCCTGTAATGCTGGCTTGAAGTTATGGAGAAATGCTTTTAGTATAAAACTTAAGTTGGAAAGAGTTCTTGAGATAGAAGTTCTGTACACTTAATTACAATTCCCATATAAAGACTTGGAGGAATTAGAATGCTTTGTTCAGTTTCAGGTTATGCAAATGTTAAGGTTTGAAACTGAGTCAGATAAAGATGTAATTCTTCCTTTCTGAAATTGTGTTTATTGCCTCAGTATTTTGGAGAAATAAACTAAATGCCTAAAAGCGACTTCCAAACAACTGTAAGTGGTATAAATACTTAAAGTTCATTTATTCTTGGAATATTTCACTCAGTGTTCAGAGTGTATTACAGATGAGCTTTCTTAAGCACACTA